TATATGACTCTTAAATTAGGATCACGTCGGGGTCGCAACTTTAGTAGAAATAGTATCCATTATTTATACACAAAGTTTTAGTAATAATAATTTCACTACTTTATTTGACTAAATTATTTAATTCCTAAATGACGTTGCAGCACCGCGACGAATACCTCCCTAAATGCACTGTGTGCACTCCTTAAGAACTCTTTTCAAACGAAAGTTTCAGTGCGAGTTCGAATTTCACATTTGTGTTTGATCATCTTTTATATTATGCTGCCACATATTGAATTATTTATATGCATTTTATATATCAATTACATATGTATTTCATTAACAAAAACAAAAATTTTATTAAATACTTTCTTTATCAGTGCCTTTGTTTACAGCTTAGCTGTTGTTTGTTTACATTATACATATAAAACATATGGCACATATTTTAAAAAACTAATCATCCTCATTATTGGCTTTAATGAGCAAAACCGCTTAAATAAGACAGTGTGAATGTGCTTTAAGTTAAAAAGCACGAAAGTGTTTTGTATGGTTAATCAAATTTTATAAGCGATCTTAATCAAATAAACTGCTTTAACGAAGGTAGTAGGAACATACTATAAGTCAAACGTAAAAATTTTGTATCATATATAATTTTAAGAACAATATTTTCACTTTTAAATTAAGTGGAATAATTAATATTACTCCTTAAATATGAATAATTCCATGTTAATTCTTTATAAAATGTTCAATAAATTATCTTCAATATGCAAAATCTGTCTATATGTCCGTACGATTTGAAAAGCCCAATATAAAGCTATATAGAAATTTGCTAAAATCTGCCCAATATACGTACATAGTCTATATACAAATTTTACTAATAAAGTGAGAACAAACTTGCTAAAGAACTACATTATATGACATAAGCCTCTGGAAGTACTTACAAGTACAAACATCGGTGCTGTAGTATCACAATAGATCATTATTTGTACTCAAGTGAACCTTAGTGCACAAAGCTACCATTGCAAACGAACCTAACAAGTTCCGGTTATTATAATAATACACCGGCCGACCTTGAGCTTGCTGTAGGGAAGTTGTTTCATTTTAACCTCGTTCTTCCACCTCGTAGTCCTCAAAGTTTTCAATGGCTATTTCAAGATCGGTGTTTCGAAAAGCCAAATTTATATAAGTGTACCAGCCCTTGAGGTGATTAAAATAACCAAATGATAAGTTGGCCTTTCATAACCATCATAATCAGTATACTACGTATGACGATTTTGTATAAATCTTCCTCGGGCATCATTTTTTACCAAAACTAGGCATATACTCTATATAGTACTTTTTAATATAATAATAAAATACATTAAAAAATCTGTGAAATCCTGCTGGACATACGATTAAACCAAATTTGTATTGATAAAAGTCTTGTAAATTAACAAGTAATCTCCTGCATAATTTTTAAAGCTCGTTAAATCATTTTTTTTAAGTTAGTTTGTACTGTTACCCAAAACTTAATAAAAAAATAATTGTTTATTATTTGGAGTTGTAAAATTTCATAAGGTAACAAGAATTACATATTTATTGCGTTTTATTCATAATTGCTTTTATATCTTCAGCGTCAAGAGTCTCATATTTTAGTAATGCTTCTGCCAGAGCCTTATGCTCCTTAGTATGTCTTTTAAGTATCAGTTTGGCGCGTTCGTAACTTTCATTTAATATACGTTTTATTTCTGCATCAACAATCTCCACAGTATTTGGTCCAAGCGGTTCACTTCCCAATATACCTTTTGAAGTTTCAATAGTTCGCAAACCGACTCTTTCCGACATACCCCAATAATTGTATATATATTATATTATTGATGTTATAAAATGAGTTTATTATCTCGCCCATCATTGACCAGTTCATATATATATAGTTTTCTTTGTTACATGATATCGTTCCTTTTCAGGAATGTAAGCAGTATGTCCAAGTGAAGGACCTCGAGGCATTATTGTAACTTTATGCAAGGGATGTGATTCCTAAAAAAATCAATTTATTTACATTTCTATAGTGAAATAATTTGATTAACCTTAGTAAAATACGCAACAATCGCATGACCTCCTTCATGATAAGCAGTAATTAAATTAGCTTCTTCATCTGGTAGTCTAGCTTTACGTTCTGGGCCCATAAGAACTTTATCTCGAGCGGTTTCTAAATGTTTCATTGTAACCGTTTCTGCCTCATCAATAGCGGCTCTAATTATAAAAATATGTAATGTAAAGGATAGCAATAAAGGAAATATGTGTGTGTGATTTTTAAACACCTTAATGCTGCTTGATTTATCATGTTTTCAAGATCAGCTCCCGTGAAACCAGAAGTTCCACGAGCTAAAACATCTAAATCAATTTCATCGTGAAGTATTCGAGATAAATACAATGAAAGTATTTCTTTTCTTCCAGTAAAATCAGGAGTTGAGACTACAACCTAAAAATTAAATTTAAATTAAATTTAAAATGCAGTTTTATTTGTTGTTTTTAGTGATTACTTCAACATCAAAACGGCCGGGTCGAAGTAGAGCTTGATCTAGATCATCTCGTCTATTTGTTGCTCCCAAAACTATAACACCAGCATTTTGATGGAAGCCATCCATTTCAGATAATAATTGATTTATGGTCTGGTTAGCGTATGGATGTAAGACAGAATTCGTTCGTTTTGCACCTACAGAATCAATTTCATCTATAAATATTACGCATGGAGCACGCTGCTTGGCCGCTTCTAAAATAGATATTCATTTAATATTTTTGTTATATATAAAGTATTAAATAAAATTTACTAAATAAATCCCGAACTCTTCTTGCCCCTTGACCAACCAGAACTTCATCAAACTCAGGTCCAGCCGCATGAAAAAATGGTACATTTGCTTCTCCTGCTACTGCACGTGCCAACAATGTTTTTCCTGTACCAGGAGGACCAACAAGTAAAACTCCTTTAGGTAATTTACCACCAAGATTTGAAAATTTTTCAGGATTTTTTAAGAATTCCACCACTTCTTTAAGTTCTTGTTTGGCTTCATCGCATCCTTTTACATCATCAAATGTTACGTGAATTTCTTCGGGATCTACCTCTACTTGATTCCCCAATTGAATTCTAGAAAATATATAAACCAAAACATTATATATATACTTATTTCATATTTATTGATCGTAATTTTACCGAAAGACAGAACCATTTGATGATGAAAAAAGACTTAAAAAAATGCCTATGAATACAACAATAACCAAGACTTGCTGGAAAACCTACAAATTTATAACAAAATATTAATTTTTAAAATAAGTATATTAATTACTTTTAGATATTTCATTGTTTTTCCCGACTTAGGCATCTCATCAGAATTTACAGCAGCCATATATCCTTCAGCAAATGCGATTTTCAAATTATTCTCCTAAAATAAATTTAAAACAATTTTAGAGAATAAGCTTATATTGCGAACAATATTGCAATAATTAAAATTTATATTTTGAATTTAATAACAGTGAATGACTCTTGTACATATATATATATATATATATATATATATATCTGGTATATAACTGGATATCAATAGCTACAGCTATTGAAAAATAACTGTTGAGACCAGTTTGTTCACACTGACATTAATGTTTTCTCCATTCAAAAAAAATCGGAAATTTTTTTTTTAAAAATGATGATCACAATAATTTGTGCTTTTGTTAATAGGTAATTTGCCTATCAGTCATATCGAGCGTCAGTCCTATCAGTCATATGTATTGTGTATGCAACTATATTACAACTATTTCTTTCCAAATCAACGAGGATATTTCCATGACATTGTTTAGTTAAGTCATATGGATAATGCTAGCTAACTTGTCATAAGATTGAGAGGAATCTTACCTTTAATTACACAATTAAAGGTAGTAATGTTAAAATATTGGAATCAGTCCACTGTATATTTTGGACCATTATAGATATTTAAACCATTACATGCTCAGTTAATAGAAAAATTAATAAAACAAATCAGAACAATGATGGAGGCACTCATCTCAATTAGGATTAATAATTACATTTCCATCTAAAAAACATTGTGCGAATTGAATGTGAAAAAATATTCACTAATGAAAATTTTTTTAAACACTTATTAAAAGGATATATTTCTAGTTTCTGATATCTATTTTAAATCTAAAACAAAATATCTTCATGTTCTTTACTCAGATGTTCTAGTAGGAAGCATTAAGTAATTTAACATAGCTTTTTATAGAATTGTTATCATACAAGCTATAAATATATTTAGTATCAATAAGAAAGATGTATATTAGATTGATGATTTAATTGACTCTAACTACTTCTTTAACTTTGCCCATGGCAGCCAATAATAAGGAAAAATATATTAAGAGAATAATGGTATATTAAAAAAGAAACATATGGTAACAATCCAAACATTGTAAGGAAAAGAAAAATAATTATGACTATAATAAAGAAGAAACGTTTCTTAACAGCGTAACTGTGTGAGCTTCAACGGAACATTAATAACTATTAATTATTAAGTAAGCTAAAAATACAAAGTAAGTTTCAATACGTCACAAAATGTGGACCTTGAGCGTTTTAATGATAAACAGAAACTTCCACAAATAAAAACAGATGTCCGTTGGAAGTCATTTATATGATGTTATATTTTACACATAACAGTCCAAGCAATATATTGATATAATAATTAAATAGAAATTTTAATCAGAAATGTATTCTAATCAAGCCTTTTTATATACATATATATTCAAATACATAAGGAAATTAAATTCAAATACTTACAACATTCTTATTATCTCCACTCTTTTGCAATAACTTTTTCAATGTTTCTGTTTGAGACGACAATTCATTTTCATTCTTTGGTGATGAACCACCGAAAGCTCGTTTTAGTCTGGATAATATTGTTGGATTTCTTTTTAATTCAACAGCTATAGACCGGTCTGTCTTGAAGTGACGTACAAATTTTCTGTAATTATTTATTAAAATTATTTCACAATAAACGGATTTACATTCTAACTATATTCGCTTACAATTGGGAATTCAACAAAGTACATGGTAAACAGGTATTACGATTCTGCTCAATTGAGTTGTGTAAAAATTCAATTAAATGATTAGATTTTCTCTTTGTATAAAAGCAGGGACTAATTTTTATAGCAGGCAATTGGTAGGAACTTAAAACACTAGCAGTAAAACTAATCAGCTTCTCAAAGCGATCAGATTGAAAGAAATCGCTCATGCTAGCATTATGTTCTATCACGCGTTGCAAACCATTTTGTGACCGATTAAGTTCTAAAGACAAATTCTTAATTGCATTCACAGCAGGTTTTCGAGCTCCACTTGAAGATGCTTCTTTGCACTTAACATTTGATCTGGCCACATAATGCGGTCGAATGCCAATATTATTAATATAGATAGATGACTGCAAATAAATACTGTGATTAAGCAATAGTCCAAAAAAAGCCTTCGAAGTACTTACAGATAAATATGAAGATGCACTGTACATATTTCACGGCCAACCTTATATAGAAATACTATTGCAAAAAATAACAAAATATAATTTCTCAATAAAAGCAAATATGTTATAATCAGTCAACTTGACTTTACCAAACATCCCTGCCTTTAAGCATTGAAAAAATTCGGAAAACCAATATGTGTAAAACTGAAATTTTGTTCATATTGACGTATTAAAATTACATATATATCAAGAAAATTTAAAACTACATAAAATTATTCATTTTAAATCTAAGTTTCCTTTTTTGTTATCTAGAAAACTTAAGTATACAATTTTAAAACATTTTTATTTAAGTAATATACATAATAGAATGTCATATAACTTTGTGAGAGAAGTACTCACTTCTACAAAAATATTATTAATTAGGATTACGTGTAATACGAATTTATGCGACAAGCTGTAGTGCAAAATTGGTATATTGGTATTACGCCGAATAAATATAACTCAAATTGACAAATTTTTCAATGAAGAATATTACAACAAAACATTTCTCTCAAATATTAAATATCAAGGCAAAGAAAATCTCATGACGAACAAAAACTTAGTTGTAACCGATACAAAATAAACAAACACACTCTCAGAAGTTGCACAAACATTATCGCAATTTGAATTATTATTTCCAACTTCATCTTATTTAGGGTGGTATTCTGATTAAGTTGGTCATGTGATTATTTTCAACTTCACCTTCTTTGGGGCCATATTCTGATCAAGTTCAGATCGTACTCTCAAGAAAAATTTTAGCAGCAATGAGTACAAGTTTTTTACTTGAAGAAGGTTATTATAATAATAGTGTAAGTTATTAATAAATTAATGATTTGTATATGATGAAAACTATGATAGAGGTTGGGCAATGTACCTAAACTATTATATGATTTATTTTAAAAACTTAGTATTTCAAATACCAAAAATTTATTTTTTAAAGAAAAAATTTTTTTTTAAAGAAAACCAAACATATTAACTTGGTGCCGTCTTATCATATTCAAACATTCAATAAAGGTGATGCTACACTTTATACTGTCCTGTATTTTCGCTGAGGCGGTACTACATATCGCAATATTAAATAATGAGTTTTTATTTGAAATTTTAAAACGTAGATGGAGTTCTCGGTTCAGCTAAAATTTATATTCAATTTACAAGTTGACTGCAACCAAGTTAGGGTTGTGCGTTGTATGATGTTTTTTGCAATTGTTTTCATTAATAAAAAATATAAATTTGCGACCGTGACAGAATTTAAGTACTTAAGTTATATTTCGGTTAACTATTGGCAGTTATTCATTATAATATCGTAAGCATTTTTGTGATTATTTGCTCAAGCATTTAGCTTAAGGTACTACTCACAGTCCCGTCCCACTTAGCAATATCTAGGTTTTACATATATAGACAAAAATCGGCAGACCAAATTTTGTTCTTACTTCTCACATACGTAGTCTAATACGTATCAAAATCCATAGTACGTATCAAAATTTGTAGTAACTTTCAAACTTTTGAAATTTTGAATTTAACACAATTTAAATATTTCGTGATTTATTTCACACACAAATAAATTTGACATTTTTGAATGGAAATTTCAAACTATAACTTTTTTGAATATTACCGGGCTTAGGTTGTTTATTTAACTCGTTAAATTATAAAATTTTTATAAACAATTTTATATTTGTTAATTTGTGTTAAATATTTTAATTTGTAATTTAGAAATTGTTAATAGTATTGAAAGACAAATTAAAAGCTTGCACCTATATTCATATCAATATCAAACAGATACTCGTTCTATATATGTGAACATTTTATTAAGTTGGATAATAGTAAAAATATTAAAAATATTATTATAATAATAATAATAATAAAAATTTGTGGTGTAAAGCCAACTGAAATGACCAGGGAAGGAATCGAATAAAAACCAATTAATATCAATAATTTGAAATATGGGATATTAATTTTACACGTATGGATAAAATTGTGTTAGTGCTATCTCCATATAGCATATAGATTACCTTTAACGTAACAGGAGTAACAGGAGATGAGAATAAACAATAAAAACAAAAAACGGATACAAAGGCAATTCAAAATGCAGTTAAGAATCATATTTGAAAAAGTAAAATGCGGATGTGGTACCTCAAATGATGGCATTACCGCTAGAGGATCTTTTCAAAACGCTCATTTGTGTGTTTCAATAAGAAATATTGATTAAGAAGACTTTCAGGCTTGCAACAAATACGGATGTATCATCTGTTACTAATGTCAGAGTCAAGTTTTTCACAACAAAGAGAAAGGAGAACAATAAATAAAGAGTATCATGATATCAGAATTTATATTTTAATTGATTTGTGGAAAGATAATTTTTTTGAAGGTTTTGAGTCTGACATTACAGATTCTCACAATTCTGGTGGAAGCAATATCTGAATTATGTTGTTAATATATAAATATAAGTTTTGTTTACTAATTTTATTAATAAAGAAAAGTAATAATGAGATGTATGAGATTTTACAAAAATTAATCAATATTTATTGGTTTTGATCATTAACTTTGTGGGGCAAGTATGCAGGCAAATAGGTGAACCATGTCCATAATTCACAGATGTTTTTATTTAATAAAGACAGTTGTTTGTGCAAAATTTTATTGAAATGAATTCGTGTTTGGTAATTTTGACCAATGACTTTGTATGGTAGGTGGATGCATAAATGGGCAGACCACGCCCATACTTTGAAAATTTCTTAATATCCTCCATATAAGCTTATAAGCCTTATCTTAGTAAAATAACGCGTTTTCTAATTTTAGCCGCCGCTTATATGAATTCGTTACATGGGGAGTCACTAAAACTCTGGGTATTAGCAGAAGAACACGGACTGACATATTTGCATTCTACTTTACTTTACTAATTCAAACAACCGTGATAACATAAACAGTTTTAAGCGCCATCTCTAAGTTGCTTGAGTTACTAGGACTTATTAGCCAAGTTATCATTCGTTGCAAAATTTCTATGCAACTACGTAGGATTCTTCAATTAAATTGGGATAATTATATTCCAAAATATCTATTAATTATATGGTATTAGATCCGAGATAATATAAATAATTTGCATAGTATTGAATTTCCTCAGTTTGTTAGTACAGCGCTAAATGATCCCATCAAAATTCAAAGATTTGCAGATGCTTCACAGCATGCATACTGCTTTTTTGTTTGTGTTCAGGTGGAAACAACACATTCATTGAAACTATTTGAAGCAAAATTAAGGGATGCTTCAACCAAACATTCTACGTTTAGATTTATGTGGAGCTTTATATCTTGTCGTTCTTGAAAGACTATCAATTATATTTTTTAAAAGAGTATGTTTTCAGACTGACTAATTAACTATTCTTCAATGACTTCCGATACATTAATATGAACTCCAATATTTCCTTTTTATTCAAAATTGAACTCATACCGCCATGCAACATCATGAGTACCATCTTATATGTCAGTAACACGATTATCAACGAAACATCTAAAATTCAAAAAATCGATTTTACAAAAAATGAGAAACCGATAGAAACATCTCAACTTGCACTTTGAAAGGTTATCTTTACATGCCATCAAATGACAAACGTTGTAAGGACCAAATATCACCATGTAAATTACATTTTTTCTAAAATTTATAAACTTCTCTGTTAAAGACCCATTTATTTTAACGAATTCTAATCATTTCATAATTGCACCAGTATGCCAGTATTCTTGTTAAAAATTGTGGTTTTTTCACGATTTTATTATTATTAAAAGAAAGGATTGTGCACTGCGACCTAAAAGATCTATTGTGCCCGTTACTCGGGTTAGAGTGTGTCTCCAAGTCCGATTTCTTTAATGAAAGACAGTATAAAGCCGACCTTTCCTAGTCTTGAATTTTTATGATCTATGAAATACCTTCCTAGGTGTTTCTTCCGCTTGTGCATCAGTGCCGGGTACTCCCAAGCACATGGTATGCAGTTTCTCTCTCTTCTCTACAATATCTGTAGTCTGAGTTGGATTGAATTCCTAACTTCAATAGGTGATTATTCAATCTACAGTGACCGGTCAATAATCCCGTAAAAATTCTTAGGTTGTTTTTTGATTGTGCTATGCAATCTTTAAAGTGATTTATGTTGTAAGTCCTTAACAGCATTTTAGAGTATGAAAGTCCTGGTATTCTTTCCCAATAGAGTTCCCTTTCTTTTTCCTCTGCACCATACATAAGAATAGATAGAGTTCTTTTGCTTAGACCACAGAATGATTCTGGGCCCTATCATTCTTGAGGCTGCGCCTCTTCTTGCAAGTTTGTCTGCCTTGGATACCAGCATATTCCGAAATCCATATTAGGTGCACCTGATTGTTTCAGTCGAGTATGATCAGCTTGTCAATGCATTTCCATACCAGTTTAGATGATACCTGGTAGGATATGAGTGCCATTATAACTGCCTGGCTGTCAGTCAGTATTGCGATTTTACGATTCTGGTAGTTACGTTCAAGGTTGAAACTGGCGCATCTATCTATCGCATATATTTCCGCTTAAAAGATAGTTGCATTAGTTCCTAATGCTTCCCAATATCTCTTGCCTGGTCTATAAACACCAGCTCCACCTCCCTCATTGATGAGGAAGCCGTCTGTATACCATGCCATCATGTTACCATGTTTCCTTTTATTATTTGAGTTTTGGACAAGCCTTCCCAATTCTTTTTCTTGCCAAGTTCAGTTTTGAAGTTTTTTGTAAAGTTGTACTTTACAATTATCCTGTTTGTTAGCATTTCAGTTTGTGCAGCCAGAGTATCACATTTTTTGCTGTTGGTTTCAAGACCAGTCATCCTGTTTGTAATTACTCTAAGAGCAGTCCTTTTCACCTGTTATTGCATGTGGATGTGAAGAGGTGTAAGTTCTAGGAGTACTTGCAATTTATAACGTGGATCATGTTCTCATTGCTCCTGTTATGTTACACATGCAAGTCGCTGTACCTTGTTGAGTGTGTTGATAACACTTTGCTGTTTTGTGCAGTTCTGCCAGACTACTGATCCGTAAGTGGCCATAGGTCTGATAATTGCTGTGTATATCCATCGCAGTGACTTTAGTGTACATCCCCAATATTTACCTGTGATGGATCTACATGTCTTGGATGTGAGATTTTAATAGTTATTTTTGGTCTAAGATTACACCCAAAATTTTTATCTTTTTTTGTGGTTTTAT